GCTGTTGTACTTCGTTCGATTACGTATTGCTGCGTAGGGAGAGGAGGAAGGCCTCTCCTGGTTTCTGCCCTGCGGACATTTTCTTTGTAAACATCCGTTGGCGCCACCGCCGCCGCCGCTGCGCGCGATGGGATGAACTGGGCCCCGCCGCCGAAGCGTATGTATATATACATGTTGTATATATACAGTAATAAAAATTATTACTCACCTTTAATCGTCCTACAACGCCCACAAGTGCGATTTCTGACACCGATACGGTTAACGGAACGCAGATCCACACCAGCATAGGGAAAACTTGCACTACTCAGATATGTGCAAAATATTTTTTTGCAAAAAGCGTAATTTTGCGAATTTCGCGGGCGGACCGACACCAGCGCCTTCGCCCGGACAGCACGATTCCAAAAAGCCCCCTCGCGTGAGCGTGGGACCAATTGGGGCCGAGATATCGCAAGTCGAAATTCACGCTCGGGTGCGGGCGGCCATTACCGAAAATTGCGGCGGCCGAACAAACGGGTTTCCGAACGGGACCGTGCACTACGCGTTGTGGCGCAACCGGTCCTGTGGCGACCACGCCCTACCACCTACAATCACCGTACACAACTCGCGAATACTCAGGTAATAATGACCGTATAGTAACGCGAATTACACCGGAAGAATCACTGCGTAAAGACGAATCTTTTAAGCTAAACCGCGGAAAAAACGGACAATGTTTGGCGCCGGGCGAAACAAATAAACACGGAGCGGCACAGAGATACGTGCTCTCTGTGATATAATATACGCGCGACTGAGATATAATATACGCGCGACATGTGATATAATATACGCGCGACTCCGTGATATAATATACGCGCGACAGTGATATAATATACGCGCGACTGAGTGATATAATATACGCGCGACTGAGATATAATATACGCGCGACTGAGATATAATATACGCGCGACTGAGATATAATATACGCGCGACAGTGATATAATATACGCGCGACTGAGATATAATATACGCGCGACTGAGATATAATATACGCGCGACTGAGATATAATATACGCGCGACTGTGATATAATATACGCGCGACTGTGATATAATATACGCGCGACTGATATAATATACGCGCGACTGTGATATAATATACGCGCGACTGTGATATAATATACGCGCGACTCACCTAAACCTAACCTAACCTAACCTAACCTAACTAACCTAACCTAACCTAAAACCTAACCTAACCTAACCTAACTCCATGCGGCAGTTTTGTTGTCTCGCATCCACGCCACCAGTGAATCCTTCAGTGTACAATTACCTCTTTCTACAGATCCTTGGCTTTGTGGATAACGTGGCCGACCATTTACTAATATTAAATCTGGCCATAATAACGCTAATTCTTTTATAATACCGGCAGTGAATTCGCGACCATTATCGGACTGTAGAACGTGAGGTGCACCAAACGTTAAAAATATGTGTAACAGTTCTTTCGCCACTTCCGAAGCCTTTTTGCATTTCAGAGGCCGGAAAAATGAAAACTTTGTCAAGTGTTCTTTGTAATGAAGAATAAATTTAAAATCACCGTCAGGTAAACTTTGAAAGTCGACAAGGTCCACTTGCCCACGTTCATTTAAGGAAGAAGCTAAAATAGGCCGCACAACAACGCCTCGCGTACTTTTTTTTTTTAATTTTTCCACACACCTTTCACAATTAGCGATATAAGTTTTTACATCAGCCATAGTAATATTAGAGTAATGCTCCATTATTTTTTTGTGTGTTTTTGTCTCACCTTTATGTTCATTGGCCACATGCATGTCACGGATAATACTATGGAAACTGTCGACTACTGCCATAATACGTTGATCGCGTTTCCGTCGCACTCGTCGGACGCCAGCTACCTCGATCAAATCAAATTTCTCACGGACGTGATAATACCGCCTATCTTTATTTACAGAAGCATCATCAGTTAAAATTTTTACAGCTTCGGCATCTCGTTCTGCTGTCCACTTAGAGTCCATAGTTAATAAATATTATTATTTATTATTTTATAATTAATTATTGCAACTAATAAACATTAAACGCACTTTTAGAACCGTCACACACTGTTAACTATTTCAGCAGGCAAAACGAATAACTGAACGTTGAACATGTAGGTAGGGAATATTTGTCACATTATTTTATCAAAACAATACAAATGCCTTAGTAGCTAAGATAAAGTCACGCGGCACGGCGGTGTGGACCTAACCATCATGGGCGTCTATCATCATAGGTAATAAAGATAATGATGTGTTAACGCCAATGGGTTCAAATATTGGTTATTTATATATCTATCACTATTCGTAATAAATTATGTTCGTAATAATGTGATACCGAATTCATGAAATCGGTAGAAAAAAGTATGTCTATTTCATGAAATCGGCAAATTTTAATTGCGGATTCCATGAAATCGGCAATTTTTCTGCCGATTTCATGAAATCAGCAATTTCACAAATTCGGCGTAACATATACATCTAATCACAGAACGATGCGACTTTTCCCTTCACTCCGGTTCCTATCTAATATTATTGTTACTATTATTATTATTAGTGCTATTATCGCTATTAATTGTTATCGTTTTTCTTATGTATACAGTGTTGTGCCTATTGCATAATATTATTATTATGTTTTGTCTTCGATCTTGCAAATTGTCATTATTATCTTAATTATTATTTTATTACCATTATCTGTAGTGATGTTACGAACTGTTCGATTTTCGAACCGAACCGAATCGAACTCGGGTCTCGGGGTGTTCGGTTCGGTTCGAAAATCGAACTAAAAATTGCAAATAGTCGAATTTAAAAATAAGTCGGCGATCCAACATTATTATTGTAATTAATAATTATTATTATTTATTGCGTGTTGCGACTGGCGGCGGCGTGGCATACTCCCATACCGCGCGTTTCACCGAGCCCACCGTGATACAACTTCACTACGTCAGGCGGTGCAGGGGGATCTGGTTATGAAAAACCCTAGATGGCCTAGATACAAAAATAGATTGTTTGGTTGTTTTCAATTTTTAATGTCTGTGGCTTATTATTAAAATCTTATCTAAAAGTATTATATATTAAAAATTGTTATGTAATAACTGATTACTGGCTGCAGCCAATATTTGCAACGGTCTTATTTTTTTTCTATCTTAACTGAACAGTGAACATTTGTATTTTGTACTATCGTCTATCGTACCGTTCATACCGTCCTTAGTTAATACCATTGATTATAGAACAGACTGTTCTATAATTAATGTTAACACTTTATTCTTTAGTTTATACTGATACTGACTAAACTTATAAGTTTTTAAATAATAATATATTCATTGTAGATTCATATCGTATTGTGTATCCATGTAAGCAAAATTGTCAATTAATTATTTACCTATTAGACTTATTAGAGTATCAATTAAAAATCTTAAATCATATTTAAAACTAAATTTTAAAATTAATCTTTTAAGTTTTATTCTATTACTATAGATTTATTGTAATTTTAATATATACTGACTATGGCTAAGAGGATTAATGCATTTGAGCGGTTAATGAGATCCAGTCAATCTGATGATATTCAAGTTAGTAATGATAATAATTTTCAAATTAATGATCCAGACCCAGAGACAACTGAACTTATAAATGAACAGCATGAAGAAAGTCTGATGACAACAGAAGAAGTAGAGGAAGACCATACAACGAATCAAAGGTTGATTTATAGTTTAAATTTTTTTAACAAAATAAGCAATAACCAATCTATGTGTAATACTTGTAAAAAAGTATTAAAAAGTCCTTCATCAACAACAACCACTCTAGTAAGGCATCTTAAAATCCATACTAAAAAATATTCTGAATATTAAGCATGTAATGCGGAAAAAAAATAAAAAAAGAAGCATTGAAGAGAAAAATTGAATACATTACACAGAAATAAAACAAAATTCAAGATTCATTCAACTCAAAATCATATTTATCATAAAACAGTGCAAGAGCTAAATTAATTACCCAAAATATAAGTGAAATGATTGCGTTAGATTACCAACCATACTCGATCGTCAAAGACCGTGGATTTAAAAACTTAATGTACACATTAGAGAGCAAGTATAAATTACCCACAAGACAATATTTAGTTTCTACTGCAATTCCTCAGCTGTATTCAAAAAAATTATCTCTACTCAAAGAAGAAATTAACACTGAATTGAATAGTATACAATCCATATAATTTACCTTTGATATATGGACAAGTGGGGCTCAACAACCATATATATTACTAACAACACATTATTTAACAAAACAATTTGAGTTTCATAACAAAACACTAGGATGTTCATACTTTCCGGGTGAACATGATGGAAAAAGTATTTTTCTTAAAATTAAATCTATGGTTAGTGAATGGAACAATGATATTTTAAGTTTAAATATTCCTATTTATATGGTCACAGACAATGCAAGAAATATAAGTTGTGCATTAAATAAATATAATTCCAATGATAACTTACATCACTATTTTTGTGCAGCCCACACATTACAATTGGCCATCCAAGATGCTTTAAAAGAAAATAATATGGAAAGTTTATTAAAAAAGTGTCGTTCAATTGTAACTCATTTTAACCACTGTCGCCATACTCGGCTTTAATAATAATAATATTAAGGTGCCTTTACGGCAGAAAGGCAGGCCACCCAAGAGTGCTGCAATGCCAACCACAAATATAAATAATAATAATAAAACAAAATGTAATAATAGTTGGTGGTAATTGTTTTATGAAAATTCAAAATAGGAAATATTCAACAATATAATATAATATAATATAATAAAGATAATAACAATTTTAGTCCTCACACAATGGCTCAGGTTTTATGAGAATAAACTAATATAATAATAAGAAATAATATGTGGCCATGTGTATAATAATAATATGCAAAATAATATATATGTAATAATAATAAATTTAAGCTTAATAATGGCTCAGTTATTTTAATAATGCACAATGAATAATTGATAATAATAAATAACAATTTATAATGTAAAATAATAGTGAAATATGCAATAAAATAATAATTTAGGTAATAAGTATCAATAAACGTGTAAGAAAGAATGTGCTATAAAATAATGTAATAGTATAAAAATTTTTTTTTTTTTTTTTTTAACATTTATTTGAAAATATACAATCTGTAAGGTTATTTACAATAGGCATATATGCGGTATTTATAATTTTAACGTGAGTTGACATGATTCTAAGGAACTACCCAACAGTAGTACTTATGGCTTGAGGGATTTTGTGTGGGTAATGAGAGTTATTATTTTTTAATTATGTTATTGCTAGGTCTCTGCACCAGTTTCTTTTCAGCCTTCTTGGAGGGTCACCAGGTATGTTGATAGAGTCGAGGGCAAGGATCAGAGGGTTTGAGTGGTTTGCTAGACGGGAGCGGAATAATTTGTAGGATGATTTAGCTACCTCTGGAACTGTTTGGATGTTTAAATCGGTGTGAAGTGTGTGATTTGAGATGTAAAAAGGTGCTTTTGTAATCATTCGTAATGTTATGGATTGAAAACGTTGTATTTGATTAATATTTGACTTCTTAGCAGAACCCCATAGTTGGATTCCATATGCCCACATCGGTTTTAACAGGGTTTTGTATAATAGGAGTTTGTTTTTAAGGCTAATTGTGGAGTTTTTGTCGAGGAGCATATGGAGGGATTTACGTCTGATGTTTAATTGGATTCGTTTTTTTTTTAAATGTTCGGCCCAGGTTAAACGTTTATCTAGTATTAGACCTAGGTAACGTACGCTAGATGTTTGAGGAATGATTTTATTGTTTAGAGTTACTGGGGGAATTGTATTTTGTTTGAGACTAAATGTGATGTGCGAGGATTTTTCATTGTTGATTTTTATTCTCCATTTGGAATACCATGGTTCCATCAAACTAAGGTGGGTTTGTAGATGTTGGGAGGCAGTTTGCGGGCTATCGTGCGAGGTGAAGATAATTTTATCGTCTGCAAATTCAGCAACATTGGTCTGAGGGGTGGTAGGTTGGTCCGCTGTGTATATATTGTATAGAATTGGAGACGAAATAGCTCCTTGTGGGACACCAGCAAGGATAGGAGATAATTTTGAGAAGACTGATCCTACCTGTGTAACGAAATTACGATTTTCAAAGTATGACTTAAAAAATAAGAAATAAGGAGAAGGGAGAATCGCTTTTAGTTTAAATAAAAAGCCGGGATGCCATACCTTATCAAATGCCTGGGCAACGTCTAATAATACGGCGGAGCAGTATAGTTTTTTTTCCAATGCATAGGAAATAGAGTCTGTTATACGGTGTATTTGGTGTAAGGTTGAATGTTTGTTTCGGAAGCCAAATTGCGTGTTGGGAATTATTTTTTTGTCATTTATGATTTTTGAAATACGTTTAAGTATTAATTTTTCAGTTAATTTTGCAAAGAAAGGCAAAAGGCTAATAGGACGGTAGGATGATGCAATGTCTGGAGGCTTGCCTGGTTTTGGAATTAGGATTATTACTGATACTTTCCATTGAAGAGGAAAATAGGAAAGTCTTAGTATGGAGTTTAATATGTGAGTTAAGTGGATTAACGCTTTTTTTGAAAGTTCTCTAGCTAGTTCTGCTGTAATTAAATCTATGCCGGGTGCTTTTTTTAAATGGGAATGATTTTATTAAGTGTTGGATTTCACCTGGAGAAAAAGGTTTTGGAGCAAGATATAATGGTAAGGGAGAAGTTAATGAATTCTCTATATTTTGTGTGTGTGTATAATTTTCTAAATCAGAGTGAGGTTGGAAGACTTCTGCGAGATGAGCACGAAAAATTTCTGCTTTTTCATTATCCGATTTACACCAAGTTCCATTTGTAGTTTTCAAAGGGGTTTGCGTTATTTGTTGCTTGAGACAATTTCGAGTGGCCCTCCATAAGGATCCGTCTTTTAAGGTGAGTGATGAGATCCAATTGTTATATGAGTCATTTCTTATTTGAGATAATTTTCGTTTAA